AAGAAAAAACATCAGTGCTGGTGGGAGTGGGGTGAAAGAGGAACTCTCCTACACTGCTGGTAGGAATGTAAATTGGTCCAACCACTGTGGAGAACAATTTGGAGATTCCTCAAAAATCTACACATAGAACTACCATATGCTCCAGCAATCCCACTCCTTGGTATCTACCCAAAGGACAGAAGAATTCTTCATCGGAAAAGTGCTTGCACATGGATGTTTACTGCGACACTATTCACAATTGCTAAGACATGGAATGCCCCCGGACAGATGAATGGATTGAAAAACTGTGGCGCATATACTCTATGGAATACTATTCAGCCATAAAAAAAAAAAAAAAAAAAAAAAAAAAATCCTGGCTTTTGACGAAAGGGGGATGAATATGGAAAACTTACTGCTGAGTGAAACAAGCCATGTTATGAAGGAGAGGCTTTGTATGTTCCCACTTAATATATACCGAGTGACTGCACTCTATGACTGAAGAGGAATATGCAAACACAGTAAATGGGTGTAAATACCAGATATAGTGTGTGTGGAAGAGTAGGGCATGAGAAAGGACATTTAGAAGAAAAATATGAAAGCAAAGCATTAATAGGACAAAGAAATGTGATATTATCGGTTGAAGATATTTTACAGATTTATCAACTGGACTAGGGAGAAATGTTCACATACTGAAAAATTCACTTTGTAAGTTAAATAATGTGATTGAATGTATAAAAGAAAATGAAATTGAAATAAACCCAGGCTCAAAAGTGGTAGATAAAGTATCTGAGATCTTAAAACCTCTCAAGTTCAATGTCCCAACAGGATTAGTGAAACCTCACGGGCTACTCAAAAATACGTGGAGGAGGATTATAGATGAGCAACTGCAGGAGGATCTCACTGGAGACAAGTAACAAGCCCCTCTCATTTTAACATCATCCAAGCATTTGATTTTCAGAAACCTCCATTGTCCCACAACCCCCATGCAGACACCCAAACCATAGGGGCAAGCAGAAGGAGTGGACTACTCAAAGCCTCACCCTATCATTTTACATCCAAAGTACATCTAGAGGTGGACAAAAGCACCAGGGATGGGTTATAGGATTACTTACCTGTTGGAGGTGGAGATGAGAATGTGGTAGCCCATGTTCCTGTAAATGGCAATGATGAGAAAGGCTAGAATTAGAATTAAAGAGGAAAAGGCCAAAAAGAAAGGCTGTCTGAACCAGGCAATGATAACAATTCTCCTACTGGACCTTGAATCTTGTTCCCTGGGTATCTGCAAGAGACTCGTGCTCAGCAAGCTCGTTCATAGGATGGAGGCCCTGAGGGACATAGGGATGGACACTCCATCTCTCTCTTGTCAGTTGGGAGACCTGCTCAGGTGCCCGCTCCATTCACTGAATCATGTACTAGTTAGGGCATTACACAGGCTCAGGCATATGGAGCGAAATGCTAGGAGAACGGGGAGAATTGGGGTAAATGCTGACTGTAACCTCCAGGCACATCGATTACTCCCTTACTCCCCAGGCAGCGCCTCTGCCTATTCTGGATACAGATATGACTATGGAGCATCTGAGGGCATTTCAGGAGCACTAAAGAGCAGAAGAACCATTCCCAACCCAAAAACAAAATACCCATGCACACACAGCATGCACATGTACACACATGCACACTAGCAAAGTAGAGGGTTTAATGCGTGCTGTCACAGAACAGTGAATAGTAAATGGGACAGCAAGCCTTTGGTGGAGAAATAAATCTCCTGTGGTCCCTGTGCACTCCTCAGCTCCTTACCAGAAGAATATGAGAGTTTATCAGAACTCCTTGTAGAGATAAACGCATAAAATCATTTTAAGCATAAATGAGAGCTCTCATCTTTCATCCCAGAGTGCAGAGTCAGCTGGGCTCCACATGCTCTCTAGCTGTCTGTATTCACTTCACACTACAGAGGTACAGGATCTGTCACAGTTGGTTACCTGGTCTTCGCTCATGGTAACTTACACTGAAATCTATATTCAGAAATCCAAAATGTTTGAAAGCACAGAAAAGTTCATGAGGCTTTTGCCCTGGTTTATACTCGTCTTAGCTCAGGAATGGCACCTCTGTATGATGGGTGTGGAGTGGCCACAAGAAATATCTTTGATTCAAAAATGTGATTCTCATTCCAAACCCCAGACTGAACAAAAATTACACTGTCAGGATTCAGCCGTTTTCTAAGGAATAGATTTCTGAAAAAGTCAATGTCCTTTTAAGAGAGGAGGGGAATCACAATTCTCCTTCTAGAAAAAACAGGACTCAAATGTTCTCAATTCTTCCCAGTTTTAGCCCCCTTCCTCATCCTGAGATTTGCAAGTGATCCAGGAAAGATCCAATCCTTCTGTCTTTCTGTGAAGACCTGACTTAATTAAAGCAAGGAAAGGCAAAACAAACAGTCAATCTGAAGACAAAAACATGCCTGCCAGATTTGCCAGGCAATAGAATTAATGATATAATCCTAAGGGATTTCAATTCAAATTTTAAACATTAAGCAAGATAAACACAGACATGCAGCAACCTTTAAGGATGAACAATGATTAAATGTAAAGGAAGAGAACAAACAAAGGCAAAAAGACATGAATGACATCATGAAAATGTATGCAACCATAAAACTCTCTCGCAGTATGTATAGGTGGAAATACTAGCCGTGTTGTGAAAATAGGCAAAAGGTGCTTCCTGTGCTTTCTCCATTCTAGATAATGCATTGCAGAGGGACAAGTACAGAGCTGAGATCTCAGGCTTAAGAATGATAGCTATAGACATAGAGTCAGAGATGGCCCCCACAAAAGTTTATCCCAAACAAAATGGTCCTTATACTACATGGCAATTGTTGGGTGCTGCCAACCTGGGCGAGGGTCCAAGTAATGTCAGGAAAGGAATGTCTGTGGGGTGGCATCAGTGCTGGGCCACTTAGCCCCTGCCATGTTAGAGTCAAAAGCTCCTTCTCTTAAAGAATGGAGAAAAGCTATGGAGACAGAATGTCCTGCCAGTCTTTGGACAGAGAAGGGATCTTGTGTGCTCCTGAAATAAGAGAGTCACCAACGAGGCAATGTCCAAATAGTAACCTGTTAATTCCTGTTGAGATGAGAGCCACAAAGACCACTTGTGGGCCTGTCACTGTGACTCTCATCAAAAATCACTGCATTCCCCACTTCGTCCCATCCTAAAGTATATGAAGATTGCTCTTCTTGCCTTACTCAGGACTTCTGTATAGCAATTGACTTCCTTGATGAGAATGGCCCTGGAGCAGAATGTTTTACCCCCAGTAGCTCTCAATATCTGAGTGTGATCTATCTACATGCCCACTAGGAGGTTAGAACAGGTCTCTCCCAAGTAAGGCTGTCAGGAATGTCAATCTGGTCTGTGTGTGCAACACAGCTGTCATCATTAACCAATTTCAGAATTTCCTGGAGAAAGATTGTTCTTCTCATGTAACTTCTGCTAACTTTTACAAAGAAAAGCATGAAATATGCTCAGAAGGGATGGACCAATTTCAATGCTACCAGATTCACATACATCAAGCAAGGATGGGAACTGAGAAGCTAATGGAAAGCCAAAATAAAATTGGAAACAGGCATAACTAAAACAGCTGGCATTTTATGCTCAGGGTGAACTAACTCAAGGAGTTGGAAGGAAAAGCAGACTACAGCATTGACCTCTTCAGGGTCATATTATGAGGATGGCACCACCTAAGTCTGTAGAGCACAGTTAAATGGCGCAGAGCTTCTTTGGGGAGCTTAGGCTTGTGTGTACACCGCACTACTGAACCAACCAACAGTCGTCGCATGGGCACCATCAGTCTAAGGGAGACCACCAACATCCACATCTCCATGTCAAGCACACAGAAATGAAGTCTGGGAACAGGAAGAGGTGAACCAAACAAAGTACATTCCTGGAAATTGGGGTTTGAGGGTCTTCAATGCCCACCTGAGCACATGACACCAGCATCTTCACCATGGTTACAATTATGAGAGAGCCAGTCATTGTGGGGGCAGTTCCACAGGTAGGACTCATGTCCTGAGCAGCGCATGTTATCAAGGACAATTGGACCTGAGCCCTGACCAAACTGGGCATATCCTGGAGCTGATGTGGCCCAGCCACAGCCCAGCTGCCTGCCCACCCC